TAGTTTTATTATACCACTTTATCAAATTTTTGGTAATTCGAAATCCCAAAAATTATATATTAAATTTTTATAGGTAGTATACATTTTGATTTCAATAATAATTTTTATATCATTTTTCTTTAAGGAGATTTATAGTACTTTTTGATAATTTTTTTAATTCGAATACGTGATTTTGTATTAACGTTAAACAATTAAAGATTTCATATTTCACTGGAAAACATAAATTTAAATATGATAAGCATAAATATGAATATGCTAAATATTATTTAAAATGAAATAAGATTCATGTAAGATGCCAAGTCAGATAACTGGTATTCATACAATATAATAAATAAATATCTCGAGAGTTAGATTTTTACGAATTTAAACTTAGTTATGTGGTCAACTATCCATGGAATGTTTTTGGCTTTAAACTTTATAATAATATAGTATGCATATGTGTAGGTATGTAACCAAAACTGTATGCAACATTTTCTTGCATATTTCATAAATAAAATTAGATTAAAAGATTTTATTGTTGTAAAGTTATCAAACTTTAATAATATAACATCATATATTTATATATATATATATATATTGAAATTAATGAACTATAAAATATATTGTATATTTAAAAAAAAAAACCACAAAAACTTTATGTTTATAATTTAAATATCATGCGAAAATAATATCCATACATGTGTGTGTTATGTTATCATATTTTTGTTGCTACACATTGGTTGAGATATTTATTGCTTTATTAGTAATTTACACGTTTTTAACGTATTCAATAAAATGAAATATGATTTATTGCTAGTGAAAGGCTTACGACATTTATGGGGTCATTAATTATTAACATGTTATAATATTTAGAGAAAATCCATAATTATTCATGGAACGAAACTTTAAAAATTGAATTTCGTTTTAACTTTATACTATGTCGAACTAAAATAATACTTATGTCAAACCTATATGAATAATTATGAGAGCACCTATCGATTTTTAATGAAAGCGAAATTATACTTGAGTCGAGTGATAATAAATCTTTATTTTTCGTGATACGGTTACATTTTGTGCGTTAACCGCAGACAAAAACATGTATTTTTTTTTATTATTTTTTAAAAACAGTTTTGTTCTGGTAGCAATTCTAGATCATTTCTGGAGATATAAAATCATGTTTGGACGGACAGCTTGAATTTAATACAATACTCACCCGCTTTGTATTCGTTATTTTTGCTGTATACATATTATGATGGACGACCAGTACACGTCGGGTAAACACAGTGGTTATGATCATGACAATAATACGAGCACAGACCTACACGCGTATTAAACAGATGGTACGTAACGGTGGTGGTGGTGGGTGATCAGCAAATAGATAGTAGGTTGAAGGTAGAAAAGTGGGGAATATGTGTGTATGTGTGTAAGGTATATATTATGAGTTAGCAAAAAAAAAAAAATATGTTGTAAAAAGGTGAAAAGTTTTTTTTTTCTATATTTTATTTCTTTTTTTTCTGTTTATTTATTTATTTATTTTTTTTTATTGGTGACCGTTTACGGTACATGACGTTTTAATAAAATGCCAAGGGGTTGTTGTAGAACGTACAAACAGGGTGCATGCGGTGGCAAAAAAGGGGAAACGAGCTGAGGGACCGTACTGGAGCGATGGCAGTGGTGGTGGTGCAGAATCGGTTGAAGAGAAACGATCTCTCGGACCCTGTTACGGAAGGAAAGAGGGAGAGAGAAATGTGTGCGTCAGAGGGTGAGTGGGAGAGAGAGAGAGAGAGGGAGGGAGAAAGAAAAGGATATGGAAAATGAACACGAATGACGATAAAGAGAAAGAGGAACGGGTGGTGTGTAGTGTAAAAGGAGAGAAAGAGAGATGAACGGGTAGGGAATGGGAGCATAGGAAAGAGAGAAAGAGAAAAAGAGAGGAGGTCTCGTTGCAGATTTAGTGGCCCGGGGGGTTATATGCGTGTGTGCAAATGATCGATCCTCTACTCCCACCATTGCCTACCGCCGCTAATGCTGCCGCCGTCCTCAACAAGCTCAGCCTGAGCAACCAGCCAGGTTGTGCAAGCTTTAGTCCGCCACTGCCGCCGCCACCGTCATCGTCATTGCCGCCGTTCATTTTTACAGAGTGCACAACGACGACGACGACGACGACGACGGTGACGGCGATGGCGAGAGAGAGATGTGGTCGTCACCACCACCACCACCACTACTACTAGCACCGCCTCGTGTACCGACATACACCCTAGTCGCGTCGCGCCACCACCGCCGACACACTTTACTGCCAAATTTCCGTCCCGGGAGAGTTTTCGCTTCTCTTTCACTCTATCACCCTCTCTCACTCTCTTGTCCACCCTCTAACCATACTACCCTAATCCATATACCTCTCTTTCTCTTTCTAGATTTACACTATACGTACCGTGTTTTTTATTTGTTAAACGTTGTAAAACGGTGTGTACCGCTGCCATCGATTTATTTATCTATAACGCACGCGGCGCTAGCCTTACTCACCTCGCAGTTTGCGTAACGTAACAGCATTCGTATGCAGTTGTATGTTACTACACGTACTACACATATCCGTACGCAGACGAATAAACCGTACCCCGGCTGCACACTAAAAACGCATCCCAACATCGGTTGCGACGGGACGCGGTTCTTCCGAGGAGCGAGCACGCGCGTGCGATGGACCAAGAAAGAAAACGGAAGGATACATTTTGGTCTCGTCTCTTTATTGCAGACGTTTGTCTCGCGTTCCTTTTATTTCACCATCGCGTCGTCTACGATGTGAACATGGACGCTAAATATTTCTTACGAGTGGGGTCTCATGGCTGCAGATAAACTGTCACACATCTTGTCGTTCGTTGTTGTTCGTAAGCCTGTGCTCCCGCCACCGCAGTATCTACCGTCGTCATCCACCCGTCTCTACCACAATACCTCGTCCCGTGACGGCTTGCTTTCTGTCGAATTAAATTTCCGCATTTGAAGGATATACGTATCATACGTAGCAGTGTACGATAATAATAATAATAGCGACGACGGTAATGATGAATCGAGTTACAGTCATCCTGCTGCGTGCCCTTCCTCTTCCTAGACCCGTGCCTTCGTCGAGGCCAAGCGTACGGCCGCATACGTGCGTTCACCCGTTTTCGGTTCTTCGTATACGCGTGGAGGCGTACGCGAGTTTAATACGACGTATAAGTCTCGCTAACATTTGAAAACGGTTCGTTATTCCGAGTAATATGACACACGTGCACCTCTCGTGTCTCGTTGTTTTCCCCCTCATCGTTTTGTCGTTCTCTTTTTACACGTGTCCCGTTTTTTCTCTCTCCGGTGTCTTTCTCCCGCGCCGTATTTTCCCTTTGACGGCGAAATTGGCACGTGCTGCGAGACGATACCATCTAATTTTCTCGCGACGATTGTCGGCTACGCGAAGTTGTACACAACCGGCGCGAGGCGCTGCGAGTGAAACCGCAGCGCGCGTGCTCTTAAGATAATTCTGCGAATTATCAGACGCGCCCGGTAAAGCCGTTGTCGTCGTTCATGTTTGCGGTCTTTAAAAATTAATTAACGTTTGATTACACACGTATTATATTGGTGTACAGCGCGATCAGAGTTCCGCGGGACGAAATAATAATGTCCGACGAAAACGCAGAAAACAATCGTTTAAAACCGTCGCGTTTCGCAGTTTTTCGCATTTCGTTTGTGTTCACAACACGAGAAAACCGCTGTAACACGATAAGCCGATCGCCCTGTGGCGCATTGTCGTAATATCGCGTCTACATTCAGTATACATATTGTAAAAGTGTGCGCATAGTATATTATTTTAACACCGGACGTATTAACAGTTCGATACAACCAGCAATATTTTCGTAATTGGCGGGCAGGGTTGGTTCACAGAACCTCTGTGCAGTAGACAACGTGGCAGCGACGAAGCTACAACGATGATAGGGAGTTGGTTGTTCGCAAAGAAATTACTAAACCACTGCCGCGTTATTACTAGTATACAACTTTTACAGAAGTCTGTGTACGGGTGTGTGTGTGTGTGTGTGTGTGTGTGTGTGTGTGTGTGTGTGTGTGTATTAAATTTACTGATGTGCAGTAAACCTATATAGTACATAACTATGGGTGAACCATAAAAGAATGTTAATATGACCCATCGACCCTTTTTGGCTAACTTTATCTGAAAGATACTACATCGAAATGGTATGTTGAAAATGTCTGGATATTTAATTCGATTAAACCGTAAATACTAACTCAATGAATTAAATATAATATATATATATATATATATATATTAAATTACGGTGAAAGACGTTGACGTCGGTGAATTATGTTATTTATTTGAAAATTGGTAGATCTTGTAATTGAAGTTATTTACCGGTTATTGACATCAGAAAAAATGACGTATTTAGTGTGATTTGACCAACTTAAAAGTTAGATATTTAATATTTAAGTGTCTTACTTTGTTTATTTTTCTTAATTTCACTAAGAAAAAATATCATAACAAACGTAGATAGCTGAGCAAAAACTTGATTTTATTACTGTTGATCACTTGTTAATCTTTTTTTTTTCGTGTAAATCACTACACGGGAGTCGAACTGTTTTCACATCATTGCTTAACCTCCATGCAGCATCGTTTATTGAGTAAAATAAAAATCATATACATACATACAAATTTGATAAGCCCTCGAAGGTCTGGGAACTACCTTCCTCAGCGATTGCTGATGTGTATGCGTAGAACATGGGCCCAAGAGAGTGAATAAGTAAATGCAATTTACATGGGGATACACGGAACATACATTGCATTATCTCCTTTACAAACATAGAATTAATATTTAGCATATATGCACAACAATGTGGTAATATCTTATCGAGTCGACCTAGGTCCGGCATCCTAGACATCTTGTTCGGAGAGCCTCTTCACGGATCGGCCTAAGCTAGCCATCCTAGACAGCCATAGTGAAATATCACCGACCATTGTCTTCTGCAGTTTGCCGCACCGTTTTCTCTTATATCTCGAGGGTCAAGATCTCCACAGCCATCTTGCAGAAGATCCTGAAGATCTCTTCTATATCCCAGAGGGCGACCTGCATCTCTTGATGGTGTACCGGCAGGTCCTCAAAGACTGGCCCGCACAAGATTTCCAGGACGTTTTCGGCTGTAGGAGATCGGCCGAGGTGGGCGCGAAGCTCCTCGCGCAGGCCGTCGCAGTTCAGAGATCGGAATAAGGTATACTCGGCGGTGTCCAATCCATACGGATAGTACATGCAGCGTGGGCTTGTAGCCCTACTCATGTGGTGTAGGTAATATTGGAAGCAACCGTGGCCAGATAGGGCCTGTGACAACTGGTATGTCCAGGGCACCTTGGAAATCGTTGAATACTCGGGAATCCACCTGACGAAGCCCGGGAAGTGCTGATAGGTCCACGGAGCATCCTGGATCCGTAATTTGTTAATCCTGAACTGTAATACTATCATAGATTATAAATATGTAGGACACAGTCAAATCCAAGGAACAATGCTCTTTTTTATAACATTTACCTATATAATTGATAATTTTGGTAGAATAATAATTTACTGGTAAATGGCGTATTTTACCGATTATCGTCTTTTTTCTTAATATAAGCACATATCCCAATAATACTAATTTAGTATGATTTTTTTTTTGTTGTAGACTATTGTATTGTTACAGTGTAATGTACATAATATTTATATTATTTATCTTGTAAAAAAAATACCTAACGCGTATGACTGAGATATATATATTAGCTTAACGTCATCATTTATGTCAACATATTTACAACAATATTAACGTTTAATGTTATGAATTGTATATATATATATACATATAAAAACACTTCGTGCAAATTACGATACTTTCTCCACCACAAACTTTTAACATTCTTTTTTTATACACCACTTTGTAAGAGAATACATGGATGGTTATTGTTTACAAATACCATATAAATTCAACTCGTTCAGTAGAACTTTGTATTATAATAGTTTATTAACTCACATAAAATTATCAATTTTCAAAGTATTAATTGTATCTAAGTTGTAAATGGTTCACTTAACATAAGTCGCAGATTATTTCTGGATGTAAGGATTTGTATTCAATATTTATTGATAAGTGTATTTGGATGAATAAATAATCATAACTCATAATTGTTCCTATCATTTCAGGAATAGGGTTTGTGATTTTTGTGTATCATAATTATTTTAATGTTGGGGTTATTTTAATGTTTTATTACATTATCTGATAACATCTGGACGAATATTAAGTAATTAATAAGTACATTTTTTTGCTGAATATTAAATAAAATTTTTTATTATATCAGTGTATGTAAAATTTAAAATTTTGAAATTTAATAATTATTATTAGTTCAGCAAAGAATATTTAAAAAATACAAATGACACATTTAACCAATAAAATTATTGAACTCTTTATTAAAAAAATATATATATACACATTTTTATTAAATCATCATTCAAATTTAAATTATTTAAATAAAATACTAAATTGATTAAATACATTTTTTATTTTTATAAGAATAGTTGAAAATTGAGTATCCTTTGATATCTTTAAAGACTTTGCAGTTATATTACAACATTATTTTTTATTTTTACCTAAAATATTCTGATATTTACTTGGTAAAGTACACAAAATATTTAACGATGAGGTACTAAAATAGCTATTACCCTTATTGATGACAAAATTCAGAATAACCTCATGAATGATATTAAGTTTCAAATTCTAGTCGATCTATTCATTTGAATTTTTTCTAAATTTTGACTAAAGGAATTCAAAAATAAATAAAAATCAAGTTATTTTAGTGTTGAAAAGTAACTATTTAATAATTAATTATCAGAAATTAATGTCAGCATTTATATTCCAAAATAATATATAATTAGTAGTATTCGGGTAAAAGTAATAAGTTATTCTGGAAATTTATATTCTTGAACAACTTTTAGTGTACCAGACTCATAATTTGTGTATCCGTTAGTTCAAAATCCTTTTATCATATTACAGTTTTGACACTCATCCGAATTCTGATAATTTATTTTATGGAGTATATTTTAATAAAATACACCTCAAAGATTATTTAAAATATGGATTAGATGTATTTTAATTATATTATAACATTATATTTCCAATACCACTAAATTGGTAAAGAGATTAGAGCTTAATTATAAATAAATATATTTATATTAATGCTTAAAAGAATAATTTTATTTAATAGTAGTAGAAAATACATAAACATTAGACGTAATTATTCTACCACGGATATATTTATTTTTGTATTATGTATAGTCCTGGTAAAATCTATGATCGATTATAAAATTATTAATTCCTTGCATATAGAACTATGAGACCATTTATTTTAAATATATATATATATATACACACACACTGACTGTCTCTCACAGATTTTCCTGTACAAAGTATTGAACAGAAATATTTAGATCGAAGTGTGGAATGCATTAGTTTTATTATGATCTATGCTTTTAAATTGTGTTTAATTTCAAACATAAATTTTAAAATTTTATATTTCATTCTTCCTTAAGCATTAACTGTTTTTGGATACATACCGTTAAGTATCTCACCATTTGAGCCAACAAAAATAGATTTTTTTGCATGTGTTACATATCAGAGCCCTACGATTGACAACGGAAAAAATATTGGGCGATTACGTCTAAACCTACAAAATTTAAAGCTAAATGTTTACCTTATTGGTGGTCATTGAAAAGTATAGTTTTACTGGAAATTGAAGCCGTTTTATCTGAAATGGTAGATTGGTTGTTATCATTAGTACTCTAGGAACCAAGACAATTTCCTGAATAATAAAATTTTGTTGATGCATTGATCCTTAGCAGTACCATGTTTTTTTTTTTCATTGACTTGCTCGTTAGTTGGGGACCAAATTGTTTTTTTCCTGAAATTAACTTAACGTCTTAGTAAAAATAATAGATGTTTCCGGATTAAAATTTTAATTAGGTTCTTCAAATGAGATATCAAAAAACCAACAAAAGTCAAATTAGTTTTACTTTTTGTAGTCGGTGACTGACCATTACCAACACGAAGAAAAGCATCAGCAAAAATCTTATTACTTTGTTCAGATAATAAAATCCTGATATTAGTTATAAATTTCAATTTAATTATGACTAATAAAATGTAAAATCTCGTTTTCCATGACTAATTATTAGACTATTTATTCTCATTAGACTTCATCAGCTATCTCTCCTCTTACTATACTTGACAAGATTTGACGAAAATTTAAAAAAAAAAGACTTATCAATGTGTTTTTATTACGTAGTCACCTCTTTCGGTAAGGTATGCCTCAATCGAACTTTTATGTGACATAAAATCTTCTTTTCGAATAATAAACTCTTAATATTGCATCAATTTAGTTATATTGCTTTATTTTACATACTTACATACATAGTAAGTTCCGAATGTAGTTCCTTACCTAACGCATCGCAATACGACAAAGATAAATATACTATATATTAATATATATATATATTAATAGTAGCAATATAATAGTAATATTAATAGTAATATTAGTAATATTAATAGTAGTAATATATAATTATAGTATTAATATTAATACTATTAATAGTAATAATAGCCATTTATACAAAATGGCTATTGTTTTTCAACTTAGAAAACAAAAATACGATTCCCGATATTGTAATTTCATATACACAATGATTAAATTACTTGTACATTAATATTTTCGGAAATTCAATGAATTTCTATAAGGTTTAATAACCTTTCTTGAGACTCGACCAATTATTTTATTTTATTTAAAACTATATATGAGCTAAGTTCTTTTAATATAATTACAATTACAGGTGTAAAATATATAAGAAATAAATAAAAAAAAGGGTACTATGTACAAAAGTGCAGTATACACAATTCTGAATGCAATTATATTTACTACATAAATATAATAATTAATTAGATAATAGTAAAAAGAAGATAAAATAATGTAAAAATAATGCAAAAAAATGGGCTATTCGAACTCTAAATACTTTGTACTAAATCATAAAAATATTCCACTGCGCCAGAGGGTTTTTAGTAAGAATATTTTTGTGAATTTTTTTAAATAACAGTTTACATTACTAATACTTTTTATTAATTATTCACAACATATTTCATTAATATTCCGTCCCTGTTAGCCATAACATGATGTTATACAGCCTCTAGTCTTTTTCGATATATGAGCTATCCAACACAAAAATAATTTTTCAATTCGAACAAGAAGTTTCTGATATTAAGTCGTTCTACTAAACAAACTCAGCAGCTTTATAATATTAGTATATATATAAATTAAATAAATAAGTATACAATTTGAAAAATATTTGTTGTTATTAAATATTTAAAGAAATTAATTTTTCTATTGTACTCTTTGAGTAGTATTACTATATTGGTTGCTTCCTTATGTTTCCTGTTTGCTTATGTTATATTGTTGAAATGATGAGAGATAACTAATATTTTTAAAATTATTGGTCCCAAAGCAAAAAAGATTCACGGATAAGCTCTCTTGTTTCCGCAAAATGATACTAGCAATTTAAATCCCTGTAACAAGAATTTAGTATTTTATCGGTTTTCTTTTCAGAGTAAAATTATATTCACTCGCTTTTGTCAATTATTAAGTAATACAATGTAACACATACACAGAATCATTAATATTAATGTTAGATATTATCATTGGTGAACTAAATAAAAAAATAACTGTTTATTTTTTTAATATTACCTATTTGGTCATTAGTGAAGTAATTGTATTTAATCAAATAGTATGTATTGTAAAAATAACAAGTATAATCACGAAAAAATAAAGTGTAAATTAATGCATAGTTCGTATATGTTATAAGATTTTTCGATTACATTACGTAAAGAAATTATCGATCAGAAAGAATCGTTTAAATATTTTAGAAATTGAGTTTTTAAATTTTTATTCGATTCGTGACTCTAATGCAAACATTTTACTGGAGTTTTCCTAACATTAGAGGTACTTTTTCTCCTTAAACTTATTTAGTAATTTATGGCAGGGTGCACCAGTTATATGTTCCTTATATTCAAGAAAAACAATTACTATTTCTGTTTTATGCAATTAAAGAGCTTATGAGCTTCGGCACAATGTCAGTATTACAATTAATAAGCCGTTTTAAATAAGATACTAGGTGCTTTTGTTTGCGAGGTATTGTCTGGCTAACGTTTTTCGCAATATTATCTTTTCATTGTTTTGGAACAGTTAACTTTCTATCACCCTTTTATAATCCATGTTTCA